CAGTTTAATCAAAGAGATAAACTAAAACGTTACAAATAAAAAAAAAGGTTCTCTATTATTACGGGGAACGTATAAAATACAGCTTTTGCAGATTAGTTGTTCAGTAACGGTTTATTGTACAGTAAGTGGTATATAGGAATAGCATCATTAGCAAAGGGAAATTTGCAAAGCTTTTTTTTAATACAAATCATTTGTTCATCAACTATGAAAAATTTTTTTTTTTATTTTTCTCCTGTACTAATCTTATCGAAAAAGACAATACAAAATTCTAAACAAAATATCACTGATAGTTATCAATTTTAGACACCTATACTTTACCTTAGTACTGAAATAATTTTTTCTGAACAAGTAATAAAATTAAAATGATGAAGTCAAACGTGTTTAAAAGCAAATCAGAAATGACAGCAAAACTGTGAACAAGCAGAGTATTATTTTATGAGCAAACTGATTATTAAAAGCTAACTAAGCGGTTGACTAGGAAACTGGCCTTTACACATTTTTTAAGAAGGAATTATTTGTTCAGTTTAAAGCACTACACTTTACTGCACCAATGCCTAACAACAGATAAACGGTATCATATAAACACAATAGCTCGTCAATGTTACTTATCATTAGGATATCCTAAATCTTCAGACAGTTTATTGATATCTGAACAAATTTATTGAATGGTAGAGGAAAGCTGAAAGAGTAGAACGAAATATTTAGAAAGTCAATTAAACAATTAGAAAAAAAAAACTTCTTTTTTCGGTCACTGAGTATACCTTTAAAGCTCACTTATTTTCTATTTATAAATCTAATTTGCTTATAGTGGCTAACAAAAAAAAAACGAGCATTTCAAATTGAGTCAAATATGTTTGAAAACAAAACTAAGCGAATCTGTAGTTCTTTTTCCATTCAGTTGCTACTATTCTGTTAACAGTTTTACAGAAATAACAAAAAAAAAAAACAAAAAAAAAATACCTTTATTATTTGCAATCATTTTTTTTGATCACATAAAATGATTACATTGAAACTGAACTTTCTTTTTCCACTAACATTAAACTTGAAAATAAAGCAGCAAGAAAAAGAATTTTTTTTTTTTTTTTGGAAAATTAAACGGATATTTACAAAGACAAAATATAATCTTTTACTTTTTTTTTTAATCATATATTATTAATTATCGAACAAAAAAAAAAAAAAAAAAAAAAAAAAAAAAAAA